GGAAGGGAAGGGAAGGGAAGGGAAGGGAAGGGAAGGGAAGGGAGGACAGCCCTACCTGCTGGCTGCCCGGTAACCCCCCGGGCGCCCCCCCCCCCCCCCCTTTATTTTGGGTTCATTTCCATGCATTTGTTTCACTCAAGCTGCCTGCTGCTGTCTTGGGTACTTGAATCTATTCAGGATGAGGAGCTCATTGATTTAGGGCCTGATGGGGGTATCGTGAGTGTTACAAATCAATAGCTTGGAGCTGTTTTTAGGAGCTGTGGAGGATTCTAACTTCCATTCTCTTTCTGCTTTGTAGGTATTTGTATAAAATGTGGAAAAGGTGTGTATGGAGCGAGCCAGGCTTGCCAAGCAATGGGTAACCTCTATCATACCAACTGCTTCACGTGCTGCTCTTGTGGTAAGTCAGATCTACTGTAGCCTTATTAAGTGGCTTCCTTTTCTAATACATATTCCTGTAGCAACCAGTGTACAAAGTGAGACCTCATCTTGCCTTCTTCCTGAGGCAAAATTCCCATGCAAGACTCCAGCTTCAAAAGTTGTTTTTTATTTGCCATCTGTAAGTGTTCAGTGGTGTTTCCTTAAGCAACAACCCCAAAAAGTAGCATTTGGTTGTTTTAAGGGCTGCGTTTACAGAATGGCTTCAACCTGGCCATTATAAGCACTACATACTTTAAAATCACTTGTGTTTAGGGAACTGTAATGTGCATTTATCATTTTTAAAGAAAAACAATAAAATTTGTGTAGTCAAAACTGTATTTTCCCTCACTTTCTATTTGCAAATGCAACTCTAGTCAAGCATGTATACTTGTAATTTCTGTATATACATAATGCTCGAAAATTGTTCTCTTATGTTGAATGTGATAAGAACAAATAGAAACTGCATGTTTCACCTTAAGCTATTACAATATTTTATTTTTGTAGAGGAAAGCTTGCAAGTAAATCACTGTCTCCTCCTTGCTGTTCTCAGGACCTTTTTAGGTTTCTCTTTTAATCTGAACGCATCTGGAAGTGATGCATTTGGTATGTGATTTGGGGAAGTCATGGCTTTGCTGGGGAAACAGGACTTGGAAAATTGAGGGCAGCACTTTCGGAAGTGAGAGCTCACAAATTCCCATCAAGTTCAAGGGAAGTATGAGAGCTCAATTTTCAGGAGTCGGGTAACTTTTCTTGATATACCCACACATTTATTTAGGTTCCTAATATATGAAAATATTTGCCTGGATGTTGAAGATCTTGTTGCAATACATATACACAGCAAAAGATTTACTCTGAGCAGAATATGCCGAGCGTAAATTGTTTATAAAAAGGATTAATGAATGATTAGAAAAAGAGTAAAAGATTATTGGCATAGAACCAAATAAGTTGATAATGAAAAGACCATTGTAAAGTTCACTTGTGAAAGAAGTGTTGTCTTTTCTCCTGAGATTTGTACAGATAAATATTGGTTTAAAGAAACCTACAACCTGGGCATAGAATTTAGTGACCTTTATAAATGACTCTGGACCATTACCAGGTTCTAGAATAAACTCATCTGAAACCTTCAGGGATCGCTCTTGACTTTGCTCAAGTCTGACAGTGAATGAGTAGCTATTTTGTTGGCTCCCAAAGCATCCTGCTTAGCAGAGGATTACAAAATACGATATCGGATAATATCTATCCACTCATTGCCAACATTAACCCAACCTAATTGCATGGGTGAATTCCAGCTTCCTCTCTGGGGCAGGCGTGTTTTTTTTAAGTAGTGAGGATGTGTGTTTTCTACCACAGGGGTCTGTACACAGGTCACTCTGTTCCTCAGAAGAATGTATAAGGGCCGAGGAATGTATTTTAACAGCAAAGTACAAACCCAGCTCAATTATTCAAAAGCACAACAAGCTTTTCTGACCGTCCTGATGTGGTGTGTGTGGCCAGTGTACATCTACCATAGGGCAACTTGAGACATGTCCATTCAGAGTGTAGTTTTGCCCCACCCCACGGTGCCTGTGGAATGTCGTGATTCACACAGCCTTCCGTGAGTCATGCACACGCAGGAGGAAGTGGTGCTCCAGGTTGTCTTCTGAGCTTCTCGCTGTACTGCTTGTGGGCTGGAGGGTCCAGCTATCATCTGCCAGGATGTTTCGCAAGCCAGAAGGGCTTGGATTTCCTTCTGTCTGCAACCTCTGGTACAATCCCATCGAAAGGGGAATGTGGGGGGGCTTTCTTCCATTAGGCACTGAAAAGGTGGATGTGCTGCTAGTGTGGCAGAAATGCCTGAGTGCAGGTAAAAAAACTTGATCAAAGCTTAGGTTCAGCTACATGCAACTGTGAGTCAAAAGCAGAGCTTTTCCTCTCCAGTAAGCTCTGAAATAGTATCAAAATGAGCATAGCTGGAAAGGGGGTGTTGCATTAACTCTTTGGTTTCCCACTTTATTTGGGGCTGTGCGGTCCTTGGCAAAACCAGAGTGATTCAGGACAGCGCCAGTAGATCCAGACCTTAGGAACGAGGCATGCAGGTCCCACCTATGGGAATTGCATCCTGGAGTGTGCTGCTGAAAAGGCTTTACAGGACCTCTCGTACAAGCAACCAAACACAAACTTCTCTCAGTACTGCAGTTTATGAACAGGGAGTTCATTTTACCTTCAATGTGACATTGGTGGGACCCAGGTGAGAATGCTGCGCTTTGGTGCCCGCCTTTAAAGACATGAGGAAAAACTGGAGAGAGTCCGAAAGGAGTTACGTAGATGATTAAAGGCTGGAGGAAAGCTAATCGTGAGAGCCCAGTGTATTTTGGGTATCAGAAAAAACAGGAGGGACATGTGGCTGGAGCTCGTAAATACTTTTACCAGAAAACAGCATTAGAAAGTGGTCTCATATGTACTAGAGACAAATGCAAGAGAGATCTTTTCTGGAGGCTGAAATTACACAATTCAAATAGGAAATCATAAGACAGTTTTTATACGATGAGGATGATTAACTGCTGGAATGAAATAGCAAGAGAAGTGGCAGATTCTCTGTTGTTCTTTGTTTTCAAATTAAGACCGAATGTCCCTTTGGAAGTGTTTTAAGTTGAGCCAAGCTTTTAGATTCAATACATAGGTAACTGGGTGATCATTAATGACCTTTGTTAGGCAAGAGGTCACAGCACACGGAGTAACACTCCTTCTGAGCCTTTGACAGGAGAGTGGAGAAGTACGTTAGTTCTCTGCCTAAAACAGTTCCTATGCACTAGTTCCTATGTGTACTTGGAAATCTGAGGGTAGAGTAAGAGCGCAAGCTTGCCTTTCTTTTTTTCCCAAGTAACAGGAATGATCCAAACTCTCCTCCAGCAGTTATCAGTCTTATTTTCGATATAATGAATCTAGAAGTAGAAGGCAGTAACTGAAGAAGAAAAATTCTGTACCTGAAGACATCTGATTTAGATAAGGGACCAATATTTAACCAGCTACAATTAAAAAATTAAAACCAAAAAATATTTCAAACCCTTGGGAAAAGTTGTGGTTTGGAGACCACTCAGGCTGAAATGTGATAATGAGTGATGGAGCCTCCAAGGGCCTCGTTTCAGCACTCGGCAGTGAGTATTTTCAGCTCAGTAAAGTGCAGTTCTGCAGAGAAGTGGGGAGAGACCCTCAGTAGGAAAGTCTGCCTGAGTCAGAGTCCTTTCTTGGGCACTTCTTTGAGTTTAACTTTGGTTTCAGTGCCAAGTGCCATCTGTCAGGGTGCCCTGGTTGAAACGGGGAGCATGTGGCAGAATGGGCCATCCTGCGGCTTCCAGGGAGCATACAGCGCTTGCCCCAGTGCTGTCCCTTTCCACTCCCGCTGTTGTATATCACACTATTGATGGAGGGTTTGTGTTGCTTGTAATTAAGAGGAAAACCTAAAGTACGGTCGCAGGTGCAGGCGCCTCTGAGGGGAGTCCAGCCTTGCTAGCGTAGAAGTGTGAGGATGCAAGGATGGATTCTCAGGGCTCTTCTGCAGTGATGGTGGTTGGCTCTTGAGAACATGAACACAGAAAGACGAGGAAATATTTCAGAGATACAGTAAATAAACAGAAGATTTCTGTCCCCTTTAGACATTTTGGTAAAATGCTCAGATGGTAAATATCTTCATTGTCTTCCTAGGTTCTGGCAACTTTGGGATAAAACTCAGTAATATATTGATTCAGAGCTGTACAGGATCTCCTCAAAAAAAGCAAATCTTGCCAGTGAACTGAAGTCAGAAGAAGAATGGAAAGGAAAAGTAAATGACCTACCTAGCAGGCATATTTTATGTTTTAAAATAAAATGCTGCATTTCTGCCTCTTTAACATGTTCAGCGGGCTTTGGATAGTTGAGCCTTGCTCCCATAACTGAGCAAGTTCGGCATCTCAGAACTTTGCTCTGTCAGTTAATTTTTGTTATGTCTCTGTGTAAACCCCTATTGCCTTCTGCAAAAAGCCATGCTTCCCAGATAGCTTTTTTTGGAGGTCAGATTATTCTCTTCAGGTAATGTAAAAGCCAAAGCGATCTGGTTTCCTTGGGATAAAATAGTTCAATGTAGATCTTTATCCACAATCTCTTAGAGGAAACAACTGAAGCTTGTTAGGATGGTTTTTAAATGTAGGTTCAAATCCTCTCTCAGCCCTAACACCAGTGGAATCTCTTTTAGGCCTTGATTGAGCAAAACACTTTAACATATTTAAGCACTTGTCTTATTACTCATATGTAAGCATGCTTTGCTGAATCTTAAGTAACCGAGATTAATTCAAGCAACAACATACACTGTCCCTTCTGTTAAGTGTAGAATTTTAGTTTTGGCAGGAGTTCAGTTGCAGATTTTGCTTATGGAAGACGAGCTGAAAAACGTCTGCCTGAGAAGCTCATCATCTAATTCCTCTTGGTAGTATTTCAGAGCATGACAGGATTTCCTGAAGAATAATTGCAATAGTGCCAGATCGCTTGTGTGCTCTAAGTGCAGGTGATCGGTTGCAGGAATTAATGGGCTCTATTTAATACACATTACAGAAGATAACTTATCAGGTGCCTCCAGTTTGCAGATCATAATGCCATCCACAGCATCGTTTCAGGCTGAAAATTTTAATCCAGTGGCAAGGATTGTAGAAACTGCAGTAAGATATATCTTTACAATGAGGAATACTGGTTTGTTATTTGTTACTCTGAGGGTGTAGGAGATGGGCAGGGAATGAGCTTTGCAGAGCTAAGGGTCTGAAGTTTCTGTACTCTCAAAGCTGAGATGTATTTCACCATAAAAACCAGGGACACGTTCTGCTCTCTTACATGAAGGCAACGTTTGAGCGTGCCATTCATCTTTAACTTGCACTTTTGCCACTGGTTTTAAGGCGCAGGAAATCACCACAAGATCAATCAGAAGCCTAAAGCAAACTGTATAATCCCAAAGGTATGCAGCTCATTTCTTACCTG